AGCTTTGATAGGCATCCTCAGCAGAAACTGCCGTTACGGCCATGACGCAGAGGTTGTACTACATGTTGCCGTGAGGTAGTGTCTGTAAATGATGCATTAATACCTTATATTTCGTTAGCCAAACAAAATTTTAAATAAGGTAAAATCATGAAATCCAGTATTATCGTTATTGTGAACCTATTAAATTTAGGGCTCCGTAAAAATAACTTTTTATGTATTATAGCTTGAAACGTATTTTGCATTAATATTAGGTTTTGAAGATCTGAATTACTTTTTTTAAGATCCCAAACTCTTAATAAATACAGGACCGTGTGCGAATGTGGCAAAGATATTAAAAAACACAATAGGTTTGGAAAACTTGTGCGCGTTAATTAATCTTGTAGAGGTCAATTGCTGAATAAATAGGCTTAGATGTGATTTATACCAAATACATGTGAATGATATTGTTTAATTTACTTTTATTTAATATTGGCTCAAATCAATGAATTTTAAATTTCTTTTTTATTAAGTTCAAAAAATGAATATTGTAGAATTTGCTGTATATTACATTTTCAATATACAAGGCTGATGCATGTTAGATTCATAATGTTTTTTTTATAGCTTCGGTTTACCTCGCTCAAATTTCTATTAATAAAAATCGATATGTTTTATATTCTCAATAATTTTTCTATAGCACATGTTTCGCTTCACTTAACGTTAGTCTCGTCCTTGATTTTTAATTTCATATTTTAGAGTAAAAACTATCGTATTATAAGATTTCATGCATTAAGGTCCATCAGCTCTTTGTTTCCCTAGGTGATACAAATAGAGGTCAGACCCGGTTATTATAATTCGATCATATATTTGGGTTGATTGGTTTTAATGTTAAACCAGTTTTATATCTCAATTGCATTCTTACTGTTACTAGAATTTGCTTTATCATATATCTCACTAGTATTCTTTTTACACTTGAAAATATAGTGAACATTTTTATTTAGAAAAGATTTCAAATTCTTAAGTGATCAAGAATTTTCAATGCTTGGTATCTCGTTTAATATGTGTAATTAACAGAATAATAAAAGCTTATGCTGATTATTAATAAATGTCGGGGATGATGCTGAAATCGGATGATGCTGAAATTTGGAGTCTTGATTTGAAAATATAAACCTTACTAAAATCCACCTATACTTTTTTATTATAAACACTAACCCTAAATTCTAATCGAACTATAAAAAAAAAGCTGAACAAAACGCCCAAAAAATTTTTAAATTTTCACAATAACTAAGTCAAAATTTCAGCATCATCCGATTTCAGCATCATCCCCGACAATAAATACATTTAGATCTACATTACCCAGCAACGTAGCGTTTTTTAGGGAATGCTACGTTTTTGTACGATGATGCAATGTCTGGCAAAATTCAAAATGAATAAATCTCAATGCCAAAATGCGTTATGATATTATTATTTATTAGTTTATATATTTTTATTAGAAATTCTAAAATTATAACTATTAGGATAATTATGAAGTGATTTATTAAAAATTTTGAAGACTTTATTCATAATAGTATGAGACACTATAAATACATAAGTTAAATATTTGTGCTATAAAATAATTAATATATTTCTTGCTACTATTCTTAATCCTTCATACCACCATAATCAACATTCAGTTTTATCTTTTTTGAATCAATATCTATTTGTATATTTTCAGTAGTATCAATATCCAGTTTTCTCTTTTTAGAATCAATATCCATTTTTATATTTTCAACATCAATATTATTATCTGATATAACACAACGTTGTAGTTGGTTTATACAACTGATAATTTTACTATTGTAAATAGAATTATTATCATTACTAATGATTGAGCGATTATTTTCTATTACCATTTCTTTATCAGAATTTATAAATTCTGATAAAACTTTAATGTCATTTTTCCATTCCTTAATAGTTTCATAAATTTCTAAAGCTGATGGGCGTTTATCTTGATTTTTATCCCAACACTTCTTTAAAAGTTCTGCATAACACGTCGCCGTACCTTCAAGAATATGTGGTCGTAATCCTTCACAAATTTCTACAACTAAACTTAATTCATTATCTCCATATTTAGAAAATGCAATATCACCTGAAGAAATTTCCCACATAATTATTCCAAAAGAATAAATGTCTGATGCTTTGGTAAATGGTTTTCCTTGTAAAATTTCAGGTGCGATATAAGGTATTGCACCATAAATTTCTTTAGATTTCGTATTTAATGTTTTATTTATTGCCGTTGCAAATCCTAAATCCCCAATATATGCTGTATGTAATTCGGTTTGAAATATGTTTCCACTATGTAAATCTCGATGAATAATATCATGAGAGTGAATTAACTGAAGATCAAATGCAATATAAGATATTAATTCTAATTTTTTCGTCCATTCCATTTGTGCAACTTTGTAAAGATTCTCA